CTATTGGCTGAATTGCACAAAACGCATGATCGCACCGGCTAGTCTGGTGCGCGTTGCCATTTATTTTTCGATGGGGCTGTGAAAGGAAATTATTACTTCGGAGCGTCTGGAGATAGTGAAAATGAACAACTCAATTTTCTCGCGCACTACAATTTTCAATCACAAAAAAGGCTTCTTATTAGACAGAATAAAGCCTTATCACTTATATCTCTAAAATCACCTTCATGAGGGCCTTAGATCTTTATCCTGCATCTTCAGATCTTTACCTTTATAGATAAATAAATACAAGCGATTATCAGCTGCGAAAGCGTGACAGTTTGTTAGATAAATGCCTAAAAACAGAGCTGATGAAGAAAAGCACAAACAAATTCAATAGTCACCTTTTTACCGCAGCTTAGTCCCGGTGTATCGGCGTCGACCACAAATGCGGTAAAAGCTTTGCTGGCTGAGGTTTTCGGATCCGGGTCACTGCGAGTGAGCACAAAAAACCAGTTTGCTACTCCACCGTTCGTAATCCACATCTTCGATCCATTGATTACGTACTCGTCACCTTTTTTCTCGGATCGTGTTCGAGTCCGGGCTACATCCGATCCGGCACCAGGCTCGGTCACCGCATAAGACTGCAAAAAATGTAAAAATTTAAAATTTCAATTAGAGAACTGAAAATTGATTAATAAGAACTTAGCAATTTAGTGAATGATTACTTGCAAAAATTTTGCGGCTCACATGCCAGGAGGAAAAGCTGAGCTGGTCATGTGGCAAGAGCGAAAGACAGCAGATAGGCAAACTTTCAATGAATAATAGTATGATACCCACACATTGCCAAGGAGACACGTGCCAATCCTTGTAGGGATCCGCATTAATGGTTATTTGGGGTGATGTAAATGACAAGCGGTCAAAAGGAAAAGAATGGAGAAGTAAGCTGCAACAATGGCAAGAAGAAATGATGAAGCAGCGGCTGACTGGTCAAAATATTAATGCAAAGTAATTCTTGCTGATATATAAAAAATACCAACAGCCATCAATGGTTCTTCAATCATGCCACCCAGGTATTTCTTCTTGATTTCGTCCGTAGCTGCCAAAATTAATGGTGTTTCGGCCAGAAGATTTGTTGTCATTGCGGTACAAATCCCGGTGCAGCCATAACCAAATCGCTCGCAAATTATCGCATTTGATATCATATCCAGTTCTAAGCCGCCTTAACTGAGAAAAATTAAAGTACGACAAAAACTGATTCCAGTACCTTCTATGCATTTCTTCATATGTGGGGAAAAGTGCATCACGCTTTTAAAAATTTATCTATGTGTGTTTGTATATGGTTTGTAAAGATAATTTAAATCCTCAATTACAAAACAAAAGAATCTAGAGCAGGAGTATTTTGGCTCCTAACTGAATTTGAAGGAAACTTCTAAAGCTGCTAATCACAGAATCACATTACAAGTTAAGGGCGAAAGAAACCTAAGATTTGAAGCTTCACAAAACCAAGTTCCCGGAAATTTTTGAGTCGAGGACCGGATACAAGTTTTTGACCTCTCCGTCCCAAACCATACAGTCTACTAGGTATTTATCAGCAGCAACTTCACTGGACTGCACTTTCCACCTCCTCCCTCTCCCCTCCCCGTCTCGGCCCCTCCTTCCCAGGCCTCCCAACACAAAATCACTTTTCTGAACTCAAATCTTTACTTTGAGAAGCAAAGTAAAATCAGTGAAAGTTTTTAAGCAAAACTGTCCAAATTGAATAAACAAATGAATAAAAAAATGAAGCAATTTCAAAATTTAAATTGTTAGGAATTACCGTAGTCGCTTGGTACCATCGTATTCAAAAATCCATTAGCGTGAGCTTTCTTGACTACATCCCATGGATATTTGCCTGTTTTGTCATATTCAGCAGCCACTGGAATAACTTCATCAGCTACAAATTTCTTCGCTGCTTCGTCAAGTTGCAGTTGTTCATCAGAGAATTCTAAAAAGATTGTTTTCAGGATCAAAGGCCGATGAAGCAAAAAATGTTTTTTCTGCCACTTTTTGACACTTTGTTGCTGTTCCTATAACTATTTTTTTCACCCTTAATTTGGCTGTATTTTCTACAGCAATCAATAAACAAGAAAAGACCTCTAAATTAGAAGAAAAGTATCAATCTACACAAAAATAATTCCAGGTCCGCCAGAATACTGACCAGCACCTGTCAAAACTGCCATGAATCGAAAAAAAAAGAGAGGAAATGCCATTAGTGAATCAGTAGTGAACTAGTAACTGTTTGTGGCATCAAATAACATGTCATTAACTACTTGGTGGTACTTCCCTGGGCTAGAATTTATAGTGTTGCTGGCAACCTCGCTAACTACTTTGACCAATGCTGCACTGCCTGATAATACCAATAGCATCTAATACCATCACAAATTATCTGAACGGTCTTGGCCTTAGTATTTTAAATATTCTGTCAAAAGTCAAAACTTTCTGTGAGAGGCGAAAGTATTCGGGAAGTAGCACTTTCCGAATATTTGGGAGCTAAATTTGCTAATTATGCACCCGAGAGCAGTTCCGCCATTAGTGATCTTTCTCTCTAAGAAACATAAAATTTGCGAAGCTTATCTTTCAAGCTATTTGTCGTTATCAAATTCTTCCTGATCCATAATTTTTTAGCGAGTTTTTTTTTTAATTTTATACTTACTAAAGCACAAATTTCTTCGGCTGCTCTGGACTGCAATAGAAGAAGAACGAAACGATTTAATCAATAATCCATAAAGTGCAACTTTTCGAGCAATCATTTGCCTGGGACTGAAATGCGAAAATTCATTACTGAGCTATAAAATTCCGTAAATTAGTTTTCGACGAACAAACTTCTTATGCGGGAAAACGAGTGGTGGCACACCAAATGCGGCTAAAATACGAGGAAAACAGTGGGCCGAAAGACGAAATGAAACAGTACAGTGGATTTGTTTATAAAAGCGCGATCACGCATGAAAAAAACTGCGATCAAGACCAATTATTTTTTCCCACTCATCGACTACCTTTGATGATCCAATATTACATGAGCAAATCCTGGAACCGGGTTCAATAATATCCCTAATAATTTGCTGGAACAATCTAAATCTAACTACCAGGTCAATATATGAGTTGATTGAAGTCAAAAAATGATCAAATTCTTATCAGCTGCTAGTGGGTACACAAACACCTGCACACACATATACACTTTCATACAAATAAAAAAAAACACACATAAATACATGCAGTAAACAAACACATACAACCAAATACATGAAACACATAACATACTTGCACATACAACTGTACTCATCATTAATGATTCAGCATTATCAGCTTCCTGTTCTTGGGACAAAACAAGCGTACATACACGCATACATACATACATACATACATACATACATACATACATACATACATACATACA